ATATCTAAGACAGCGAAGTAGCTCACCTTGCAGCCAGCTTTTCCAAGAGCCAATGCAACGGCTTTTCCAATCCCTCTGGAAGCACCCGTAACAACAACAACTGGAGCTTCCACCTCTGTAGCATCTTGCACAACTGCTTGTTCAACAGCAGCAACGTGGGTGCGCACACCTACAGATACATTTGATTAGTACTGCAAAATGTACAGACAAAGAAGCTCCCAACACAGAATTTAGGCCTGAATTACACCTGCATGAGTGCTTAGAGAGAGACCTCCAATGCTAGCAATGTTATAATGGTGCTTAAATTGTTCAACCATCTACTCCCTCTGTAAACAAATGTAGGACACTTTTGCATTTTAATTTAAACTGCAAAAACATCCTACATTTGTGTACAGAGGGAGTGCTTAAGCTTAACACTCAGTCGAGAGCCAAAACAAAGTGGAGCACTACATAAACAATAAATTCATCTGGTGCATCTAACATTGCATAAACCCAGAATTTTTTTTATTGTAAGTAAGCAACACACCCAAGCACCTCCATTACATGCTCTAAGAGCATCTCCAACAAGTGATGAATAAGTTGGTGATGTAAACACTATGGGTAGGAGAGAGAGATTTTAAATCACCGCATGATGTAAAAGTGGTGCCTTAAACAGCCTTTTTTCATCACGGCTGCGTTTTTGCATATTCATCATCTGTTGGAGCGGCATTTTTGGCAGTGTGGCCTAAACGGCCGTTTTTCATGTGGCCCTGCATTTTTACAACAGCCGTAGCCGCGTTGCAAATATGCAGCAGCAGGAGGCAAAATTTAGGCTTGCCTAAAAAAAATTGCAACAACGTTACATATACAACAGCTATTGGAGCAGGCTTTTTGGGCCCAAAGTGGCATAAACACCATTTTTACAACACAGCGGCGTTTTTTCATCATCTGCTGGAGATGCTCACCACATGACATATGTGGTAAGCTATCTAAAACCCCAATATGTCCAAGTCAGCTCATATAAGTTAAGGGTGTGGCTACGTGTCTCTCCTAGTAAAAATCTGCTGGAGATGCTCTAATATCATATTTTCAACCCTGATCTCACTGTACAAGAGTACCATTTCTCACAAAATTTAAACGGGGACACTTGATAAAGCTTAACGATGCACAACAGTAGTGTTTGCTCCCAGTGCTCATGGACTCGTATTAGATCCTCCCCAAATTTCACGAGCAAACATGTTACATCCCCGGGCTAGATTGCTCACTGCGCCACGCTACAACAGCTAGACCTCAGACCCCGAGTGGCCTAACCAAACCAGCGCGACGACAACCGAAGAGAAGGGCCGTTACCGGAGGAGAAGCCGGCGGCGGCTGCCCGGAGGCGGTCGGATCGGAGCGCGGACGGACGGGCGGCGGCCCCGCTGAAGGAGACGAAGCCCCGGCGCGCCGCGGACGAGGCGGCGCGAGGCAAGGGGGCGGTGACCGCCGGGGAGGAGACGGCGGCTGCGGTGGCGGCGGCCATGAGGTGGCGTAGGGAGGCGGAGGCGGAGGCGGAGGAGAGGCGGTAAGCCAGAGGGGGCAGCGTGGCGTGCGAGGAGGAAGGGGGTTATTTGTAGCGGCGGGTGGGGAAGCGGCGGGTTGGAAGCTCAAGCAAGAGCGAGGAGCACGGCGGGCGCGTCGCAGTCTGGCGGAGCGCACGAGGAAGAAGGGTACGAGGGCGTCGGGCTAACCGATGGACGGCTCTCCTGCGTCACCGTCATGGCTTCAACTCTTATACAGTACCCTTCTAAAAAAAACTCTAGAGCATCTCTAGCAAATCCAGTAAAATGCCCCGAGCCCCCGACCCGTAAAATAACCACCAAAATACGGATCGCCACATAAAATGTTGCCCGATTAGATCCCACAAACGCGTCGGACCCGTAAAAAAATTTAAGGGCATGTACAATGATGCTATCTTAGCAGTGCCATGTAGGATAAATGATGAGGTGGAGGAGAGAGAACTCATAAGAAAAGGCTTGTCTTCTCTTATTTAAGAGAAGACAAGAGATGATCTCTTAGCACAATATGTCTCATCATATTTTTAGAAATGACTAGTTATTGAAGATAAGGCTAAGAGATGACCCGTTGTAGACAATATTTTTTGTCATCTCTAAATTACATGCAAGACATAAGATAAGACTACCTTATCAACCATTGTACATGCCCTAAGGGATGCGGTAAAATCCCATCCCCAACCCGTGAAAACGCAGGTTTCCCCCTCGGCCGACGGTGCCCCATATCCCAGGAAAGCGGTTGGCAGGAGGGACATTTCACCCCGCGCCATTTCCCCACCCCCTTCCGCAACGCCCGCCATTGGTTCCGCTTGTCCGTCGCCGGCGATTCCGGCCAAATCTACGAGAGGAATCGCGCGCGAGGGGCACCACTCCCCTGTTCCACCTAGCCGCTTCACCGGCTCCCCAGACCCGCCGATCCAAG